ATTTAGGATTGATTGGGGCAAGTTTTGGACAAAAAAATTCTTGTTCAAAAATCGCGTATTTTGGTAAGGCTATAGCCTTGCCTTTTTTAATTAAAATCCTTTTCGAAAAGAATGCATTTTTAAGCAAAAGAACTCCTTCAATAGAGTCGAGAGCTGATTTAAACGTATTTATGCTTCATTTAGGATTGATTGGGGCAAGTTTTGGATAAAAAAATTCTTGGTCAAAAATCGCGTATTTTGGTAAGGCTATAGCCTTGCCTTTTTTACTGAAAATCCTTATAAAGAAGACTTCATTTTTTTGGCAAAATATCTCATTCAATATAGTCAAGAGCTGATTTAAACGTATTTATGCTTCATTTAGGATTGATTGAGGCAAGTTTTGGATAAAAAATTCTTGGTCAAAAATCGCGTATTTTGGTAAATCTATAGGCTTGCCTTTTTTACTGAAAATCCTTGTCGAAAAGAGTACATTTTTAAGCAAAAGAACTCCCTCAATAATGTCAAGAGCTGATTTAAACGTATTTATGCTTCATTTAGGATTGATTGAGGCAAGTTTTGGATAAAAAAATTCATGGTCAAAAATCACGTATTTTGGTAAGACTATAGCCTTGCCTTTTTTACTTAAAATCCTTGTCAAAAAGCTTGCATTTTTAAAGCAAAAAACTCCTTCAATATAGTCGAGAGCTGATTTAAACGTATTTATGCTTCATTTAGGATTGATTGAGGCAAGTTTTGGATAAAAAATTCTTGGTCAAAGATCGCGTATTTTGGTAAGTCTATAGGCTTGCCTTTTTTACTGAAAATCCTTGTCGAAAAGAGTACATTTTTAAGCAAAAGAACTCCCTCAATATAGTCGAGAGCTGATTTAAACGTATTTATGCTTCATTTAGGATTGATTGAGGCAAGTTTTGGATAAAAAATTTCCTTGTCAAAAATCGCGTATTTTGGTAAGGCTATAGCCTTGCCTTTTTTACTGAAAATCCTTATAAAGAAGACTTCATTTTTTAGGCAAAATATCTCATTCAATATAGTCAAGAGCTGATTTAAACGTATTTATGCTTCATTTAGGATTGATTGAGGCAAGTTTTGGATAAAAAATTCTTGGTCAAAAATCGCGTATTTTGGTAAGGCTATAGCCTTGCCTTTTTTACTGAAAATCCTTATAAAAAAGACTTCATTTTTTAGGCAAAATATCTCATTCAATATAGTCAAGAGCTGATTTAAACGTATTTATGCTTCATTTAGGATTGATTGAGGCAAGTTTTGGATAAAAAAATTCTTGGTCAAAAATCCGTATTTTGGTAAGGCTATAGCCTTGCCTTTTTTACTGAAAATCCTTATAAGAAGACATCATTTTTTAGGCAAAATATCTCATTCAATATAGTCAAGAGCTGATTTAAACGTATTTATGCTTCATTTAGGATTGATTGAGGCAAGTTTTGGATAAAAAATTCTTGGTCAAAAATCGCGTATTTTGGTAAGTCTATAGGCTTGCCTTTTTTACTGAAAATCCTTGTCGAAAAGAGTACATTTTTAAGCAAAAGAACTCCCTCAATAATGTCGAGAGCTGATTTAAACGTATTTATGCTTCATTTAGGATTGATTGAGGCAAGTTTTGGATAAAAAAATTCATGGTCAAAAATCACGTATTTTGGTAAGGCTATAGCCTTGCTTTTTTTACTGAAAATCCTTGTAAGGAAGACTTCATTTTTTAGGCAAAATATCTCATTCAATATAGTCAAGAGCTGATTTAAACGTATTTATGCTTCATTACGGATTGATTGAGGCAAGTTTTGAATAAAAAATTCTTGGTCAAAAATCGCGTATTTTGGTAAGGCTATAGCCTTGCCTTTTTTACTGAAAATCCTTATAAAGAAGACTTCATTTTTTTGGCAAAATATCTCATTCAATATAGTCAAGAGCTGATTTAAACGTATTTATGCTTCATTTAGGATTGATTGGGGCAAGTTTTGGATAAAAAAATTCTTGGTCAAAAATCGCGTATTTTGGTAAGGCTATAGCCTTGCCTTTTTTACTGAAAATCCTTGTAAAGAAGACTTCATTTTTTAGGCAAAATATCTCATTCAATATAGTCAAGAGCTGATTTAAACGTATTTATGCTTCATTACGGATTGATTGAGGCAAGTTTTGAATAAAAAATTCTTGGTCAAAAATCGCGTATTTTGGTAAGGCTATAGCCTTGCCTTTTTTACTGAAATTCCTTATAAAGAAGACATCATTTTTTAGGCAAAATATCTTATTCAATATAGTCAAGAGCTGATTTAAACGTATTTATGCTTCATTTAGGATTGATTGGGGCGAGTTTTGGATAAAAAAATTCTTGGTCAAAAATCGCGTATTTTGGTAAGGCTATAGCCTTGCCTTTTTTACTGAAAATCCTCATCAAAAAGCCTGTATTTTTAAAGCAAAAAAACTCCTTCAATATAGTCGAGAGCTGATTTAAACGTATTTATGCTTCATTTAGGATTGATTGAGGCAAGTTTTGGATAAAAAATTTCCTTGTCAAAAATCGCGTATTTTGGTAAGGCTAAAGCCTTGCCTTTTTTACTGAAAATCCTTATAAAAAAGACTTCATTTTTTAGGCAAAATATCTTATTCAATATAGTCAAGAGCTGATTTAAACGTATTTATGCTTCATTTAGGATTGATTGGGGCAAGTTTTGGATAAAAAAATTCTTGGTCAAAAATCGCGTATTTTGGTAAGGCTATAGCCTTGCCTTTTTTACTGAAAATCCTTATAAAGAAGACTTCATTTTTTAGGCAAAATATCTCATTCAATATAGTCAAGAGCTGATTTAAACGTATTTATGCTTCATTTAGGATTGATTGAGGCAAGTTTTGGATAAAAAAATTCTCGTTGAAAAATCGCGTATTTTGGTAAGGCTATATATAGCCTTGCCTTTTTTACTGAAAATCCTTATAAAGAAGACATCATTTTTTTGGCAAAATATCTCATTCAATATAGTCAAGATGTGATTTAAATGTATTTATGCTTCATTTAGGATTGATTGAGGCAAGTTTTGGATAAAAAAATTCTTGGTCAAAAATCGCGTATTTTGGTAAGGCTATAGCCTTGCTTTTTTTACTGAAAATCCTTATAAAGAAGACTTCATTTTTTAGGCAAAATATCTCATTCAATATAGTCAAGAGCTGATTTAAACGTATTTATGCTTCATTTAGGATTGATTGAGGCAAGTTTTGGATCAAAAATTCTTGGTCAAAAATCGCGTATTTTGGTAAGGCTATAGCCTTGCTGTTTTTACTGAAAATCCTTATAAAGAAGACTTCATTTTTTAGGCAAAATATCTCATTCAATATAGTCAAGAGCTGATTTAAACGTATTTATGCTTCATTTAGGATTGATTGAGGCAAGTTTTGGATAAAACAATTCATGGTCAAAAATCACGCATTTTGGTAAGGCTATAGCCTTGGCTCTTTTTCTGAAAATCCTCATCAAAAAGCCTGTATTTTTAAAGCAAAAAAACTCCTTCAATAGAGTCAAGAGCTGATTTAAACGTATTTATGCTTCATTTAGGATTGATTGAGGCAAGTTTTGGATAAAAACATTCTCAGTCAAAACTCTGCTATTTACGTAAGGCTATAGCCTTGCCTTTTTTAATGAAAATCCTTGTCGAAAATAGTGCATTTTTAAACAAAAGACCACTTCCATCGAGTCGAGAGCTAATTTAAACGTATTTATGATTCATTTAGGGTTGATTGAGGCAGGTTTTGGATAAAAAAATTGTTGGTCAAAAATCGCGTATTTTGGTAAGGCTATAGCCTTGCCTTTTTACTGAAATTCCTTATCAAAAAGCCTGTATTTTTAAGGCAAAAAAACTCCTTCAATAGCGTCGAGAGCTGATTTAAACGTCTTTATGCTTCATTTAGAGTTAACTGAAGCAAGTTTTGGATAAAAAAATTCTCAGTCAAAACTCTGCTATTTACGTAAGGCTATAGCCTTGCCTTTTTACTGAAATTCCTTATCAAAAAGCCTGTATTTTTAAAGCAAAAAAACTCCTTCAATAGAGTCAAGAGCTGATTTAAACGTATTTATGCTTCATTTAGGATTGATTGAGGCAAGTTTTGGATAAAAAAATTCTCGGTGAAAAATCGCGTATTTTGGTAAGGCTATAGCCTTGCCTTTTTTACTGAAAATCCTTGTAAAGAAGACTTCATTTTTTAGGCAAAATATCTCATTCAATAGAGACGAGAGCTGATTTAAACGTATTTATGCTTCATTTAGAGTTAATTGAAGCAAGTTTTGGATAAAAAAACTCTTGGCCAAAATCGTGTATTTTGGTAAGGCTATAGCCTTGGCTTTTTTACTGAAAATCCTTATCAAGAAGACATCATTTTTTAGTCAAAATATCTGATTCAATAGAGTCAAAAGCTAATTTAAACGTATTTATGCTTCATTTAGAGTTGATTGAGGCAAGTTTCGGATAAAAAATTTTTCGGTCAAAACTCTGCTATTTACGTAAGGCTATAGCCTTGCCTTTTTCACTGAAAATCCTTGTCGAAAATAGTGCATTTTTAAAGCAAAAAACTCCTTCAATAGAGTCGAGAGCTGATTTAATTGTATTTATGCTTCATTCAGAGTTTATTGAGGCAAGTTTTGGATAAAAAAATTCTCTGTCAAAAATCGGGCATTATGGTAAGGCTATAGCCTAGCCTTTTTTACTGAAAATCCTTGTCGAAAATAGTGCATTTTTAAAGAAAAAGAACCACTTCCATCGAGTCGAGAGCTAATTTAAACGTATTTATGCTTCATTTAGAGTTAATTGAAGCAAGTTTTGGATAAAAAAATTCTTGGTTAAAAATCGCGTATTTTGGTAAGGCTATAGCCTTGCCTTTTTTACTGAAAATCCTTATCGAAAAGACTTCATTTTTTAGGAAAAAATCTTATTCAATAGAGTTCAGAGCTGACTTGAACGTATTTATGCTTCATTAAGAGTTGATTGGGGCAAGTTTTGGATAAAAAAATTTTTTGTTAAAAATCGCGTATTTTTGTAAGGCCTTGCCTTTTTACTGAAATCCTTATCGAAAACACTGCATTTTTAAAGAAAAAAACTCCTTCGATAGAGTCAAGATAAGATTAAAACGTTTTTATGCCTCATTTAGAGTGTATTGAGGAAAGTTTTGGATAAAAATATTTTTTTTGTGAAATACCGCGTATTTTGGTAAGGCTATATCGTTGCCTTTTTTAACGAATATCCTTATCAAGAACACTGCATTTTTAGAGCAGAAAAACTGTTTATAGAGTCGAGAGCTGATTCAAACGTATTCATGCTTTTTTTAGAATTGTTTGAGGCAAGTTTTGGATGAAAAAATTATTCATTAAAAATCGGGTACCTTTGTAAGGCTTGGAAAATTGATGAAATTTGTAATATTTTTTTTGTCAATAATAACTTCTCTTTAACCGTCGATGGTCAGAAATATGCAACAGCAACTGGAAAGCTGTTATGGTGATGGCAGAAAGGAATAAAAATGATGTTTTCATCCGACCTTCTTGTGGTAAGAAATTTAAGCCTAGAGGCTTGAAGAATTGATCATTTGGAGTATTGCAAAACTGAATTTTTTGCTGTAAAGTCTCTTGGAAATACATCTCACGCACAGGAAGAAAAGGGTTTAGTTCTTGAGCTTCTAAAACTCCCTTCACTTATTTCTTCCACCCTTTTTTTCGTTCTTGGCAGATAGAAGTAGTTAAGTTTTCTGTTGTTGAGCATGGGTTCCCTGAAGAGCGGAAAGATTTCGTCATGAAACTTCTGAGCGCATTTACTCGGGCTTTCTTTTCATGTCCCAACTGGAAAGAGTCCGTAACTGCAAAAATTCAGAAAGTTTGGCCAAACAAATTTTCTGTTTTTTCTGGGTTTTAAATTAAAAATGCAATGCTTTTCTTTTCCATTCAAAATACTAACAAACTGTTTTGAAATTCGTAAAGATACCTGATGTTTGCGTAGAAAATATGGTTTTCTATAAACTAAAACAGTTATCCAATACGTGGTGCCTCTTCAATTATTTCGATTTCTTTGACATCTTTACTGTCATTGGCTAAAACAAACAAAAATTCAGCATGAAAAGGTTAATCTTAACAGAGGGGAACTCAGTCAGTGTTGGCCGTATAGATAATTAGATAAACCGAAAATGTTTTGATTAAAGAATAGCTATCGTGAAGGCCTTTTAAAAGAATAGTTTTCTTAATAGGTTCTAATACACTGAAAGGTTCCTAACATATATTAATTGTTGGCACAGTCACTTGCTCTAAAGAAAAACGCTTTTGAGTGACGCCTCTAAAGGCTGGTGTCTTAATTTATAAATTTCAAAGATTGGATCTTGCAATATTTATATAAGGCTTGCAGTATTTACTATATTAAAAAATTCACAGTGCCTTCAACAACAAGTCGCATGGTAGGCCAGTTATTTCAGCAACTGGGTATAAAAAGTCAATAACTTGTGCAACGGACAGTGAAACAGAAAATGGTTGATTTTTGCTTGAAGAACTTCCAGACTTACCGTAGAACAGTAAGGGCATTCACCAAACATAACATTGAAACTTTGTCGAAAGTTTGGCAAGGAACGGAACCACTAGGTGAAAGAGAATCGTGAAAAGAAGTGTTATTTTAGTTTACATGCTGTGACTATATGTAGAAAAACACATCTTCAAATAGAAAAACCTTCTCAACAAGATCTGATCACGCAAATACGAAGATAAAAAACTTCTAAAAACTTGCAATTTGCATATAAGATTTGAATGCATAATTAGAAAATGTTGCAATACTTTTATGAAAGCTTCATTGGAAGTTATCAGAACAGGTTACAAGTTTATTAGAGGAAAATTATATCAGTAAATCATTCTACAAAGGTTTACTTTAGAGAAGAACCATGCTTTGCTGCAGCAGCAAAAGGGTTGTCTTTTGTATAATCAAAGTCTTATGACCATCTATGATACCTTGGAATTTGCTGATCGCGGCATATTTTATAAAAAAAGGCTGTAAACCAGTGTTATGTAGATTGAAATTAAAAAAAACACTCCAATCAACAAACTTTGAACGTCAAAATAGGCAAACGTGACCGCAGGAGAGCATGAATGCAAGTTTCAATTAAGAGAAATACCGAAAGAAGTTGAGCTACCTCGATGAGACACGCGGAATGGAACAGCTGTCCACAGCGGGAATCATCGCATGCCACTTCTGGTACTTCGTCATTCAGTCGATACGCGTAGCAAATACTGCAGTGCATGCTGAAATCCTAAAAAACAAGTATGATTTTACAGGTCCTTCGTTTGTTGTAGGGGCTCCCAATTCATGCAAGATAAACGAAGTTTCTTTTAAAACAAGCGTTTACAAGTCACTCTTACGAGACTCTCTGTTTAACGTACTTCTCTTGGATGGCTCTACTTGTTTACGTACACCATTGACAACAGAAATACTTCAATAAATCTATTAAATATTTATCAATAAATATGGATGATCTACTAAAATAAAATAAAAAGTACAATATGCACCATTCCAGGTCCACCACTGTTGATTTTACCTAGCTCTTTCATATCCTAGCTCACCTTATTCACAGTAAAACGTATTCATATAATCGGGCAGAAAACGTATGTTTACGCCAGTACAATGTTTTCATATTTTCATTAGTTAGCACCAGTGTTTTGCTTCTGTTGGGTTGTGATCTGTACGTTCAGCAAAACGAGTACTCATCCACAGGTTGGTTACACGATATAACTTCAGCTTCGCTTTAAAAAAATATTTTTTCTTGCATTGAACTGAGCACGCTTCACAAGTCGAATATTTGTATTTCAATTTTTGTAAAAGGAAGGCAATAACTTGTCGGCAGGATTCCAAATGCTTCGAGGAAAGTTTCCTTTTACCATTTTATTTCATTGTTAGAGAACAGTTCTTGGGCAAACATTGTCAAATCTTGAAGACTAATTCCGACCTTAAATAAAAAATGGGCTAAAATTGTAAGCCTTGATTCATGATGAAAAACATCGGATGTGTAATATATTTAATGTCACAACCGCTCATGCCAAACAGATGTTCTCCAACCAAGCGGCGTACTTTGACTTTTCCGATTAGAGGACTGTAAGATCAGGAAAAATTTTACGAATCAGCTAACAATTTTTTTTGACCAACTTTTGATTTTGCGAACCAGCTGAAGATTTTAGGGACAACTCATAAAAAACTTGGGGACGGGTGACGTCCCAACATATTCTCTTAAGATACGCCTCTTTGCTTTACTCAGTTTTAGATTCACCACACAGAAGCTATAATAACAAGAATGACATTTTAAGACCGATATTTATCGCCTAAGACACTTGTATAAGGTATGCACTTAGGCAGATGTTAGTAATGGCCGACAGAGCCGGACCAATCGACATTACTTTTCGCAGATAGATTCCAAATAAATATGTTTGGTAACAGCATGTACAAATTCGCAAATTCGATTTAGGAAACAGGATTTGGACGGAGGGAGATTTTATCTCATCTGGGTGTACCACCTCAAAAACAAGATTTGAAGTCGGAGATTTCTGACAAAATACAGCTTAACTGCGGTCTCACAATGATTGAATATATCAGCTACTTTTAATCATTCTAAGCCAGGAAAAGGTAACATTAACGTTTACAGCAGTAATTGAACTTTTGATGGAGCGAACGAAGCTGCCACCACTTGACAAAAGATTCAAACATAATTTACCAGCGGGCAAGGAGGATAGTTGTAAATGACCTTTACCTAGATGTTAGTTTCTCGAGAGCTTTTGCAGTGTCTTTTCGAATGTTAACTGAAATATGTATAAAATCAAATGAAAAATGAACGATTAAAGTGTTGATCAGGCGCGTTAGCTTGTTTTTTGAGATACTTCATTGACACCTTATGGTTTTGTATTTGTATTTGTTGCTACCTAGCATCTGAAGGTAGTTTTTAGGACACTGAGAAGCTATGCTTATCAAGCAGTGTCCTGGTCCTTCCTCTCGATGTGACCACACCTCGTGATTACTACGCCTGGAATAACAGAAAGCTGGGGACTTTCCCCTCTCTGGGAGAAAGTTTGGTCATGCCAGGGACTCGAACCACGGACCCTTAGGTCTGTAGTCAGCGCCTCTAACAACTGAGCCATCCTCGCACCTAAATTACTCCTCCCACCTTATGGTGAAAAAGACGTAAAGCGGTAGTGCAATACAATTGCGTTAAGGCAATAACATTTACAGTAGAAAAAGAAACAGGTGGATAGAATTTTATTTATAAACCTAGCACAGAAGAAATTAATTTTCAAGGGCCTAGAGATCTGTTTGTTCATATAGTGGAAAAGGTGGTCAGAATGGGGTAAAATGGATGGAATGGGTAAAGCTGAAATAAGCATAAATAATTCTATACTTGAGTAAAGGTTTAACATCTAAAAAAATTCTTAATAAACGAAAATACATATAAAAAATATATCCATAGGTTATTTGATGATAATTTGCATGCTGTTTGTAGAAATGAATTGCAACCAAATTAGTAGATTTTCCCTTTTCGTGATACAAGGTAATATCTATTCGGCATAACACTTAAACACAGTTTTTGTTGTCAAGAATCAAACTGACGGAAAATGTTTAAGTTACAGCTGGCATCAAGTAACAGCGAACAAAGCTCCAGTATAACTATATTTCGCTTTAATTGGGAAACTCTCTATCGCTGATGCTGAGTATTATAATTGCAAAGTTCGGCGGATTCTTTGAGCGATTTAATTACGAGTTCAAAACAGGATTATTCTTATTGATGTTTGGCAAATGTTCACACTGTAGGCACCTGTCATGATCAAGGAAAATGGATTTGCTTGTTGCCTGCAAACAGTATAAGATTTGCTGTCCAATGAATCCGACAAAAAGACATTTACCTCACTATCTAACATCTTTAGCCTGTAGAGAACAAAATGTAGAGAACAAGTTTATGTACCCCCTTTTCTCCAAAATATGATTGTTTGAAAGGCCTTGAACCTAAACTGTCTGATACAATCTCAACAGGTGAATATTAAGCTTTTACAATATTTCATTTAAACAACGCTGCAAGAGAGATAAAAGGGGTTTCATTGGAGCGAAATGTTTGTGTAGTATGCGTAACTTTTTTGCAGATCTTGTCGCATCATATGAAGGTAAAGGCGTTCAAAAGGATGTTTTAAGACAGTCCCAGGAGCTGGTTCCTGTTCTACGAGGTATTGAGTCAATAATAAAGGATTTTCTCTACAAATGAGTTTTGCGTGTGAGAAAAACCAACGATGCACAAGAGGCACAGTCGATGCATGACACTCCCTAAAACGAAGACGAAAGCAATAAAGATAAATGGAAAATTAGGTGTAGATCGGCAGATGGGCACTCTAGGGTACACACCATGCTGCCTAGTTGAACGTGGTTACAGCTGCAACTTAAAAGTGATCACGAGCTCAGAAACCGCGGAAAGACGAATATTTACCTTATAATATGATCAAATCGGTGAACGAGATTTAGAGACAGTCATTAAAATGTCGTGATCGTAAAGTTATTTGAATCTTAAAACGCTTGATTTTCTTTGCTTTCTTAAATAACTATCATCTAGTACGCGATAATTGCGTTATTTGGCTTCTGTTTTGCGCAGAAATTATACTGATTGGCACCGTGGGGGACCTAAATCAGAAGTTGCATACGCAAGAAGAAATTTCATCCCAAACCATATTTGATGACACTCTTGCCCGTTTAGTGCAAAAATATGTCCGGCGTACGTATCATAAAATGTACACAGTAGAATGTTTGAAATATTTATGTGGCTTTCCTATGGGAAAAATTATACTGGCTTCTAAATTGCAAAAATGCACATGGCTTCGAGATGGCAGAAATTCTTCCGGGTTGTAAATATATATGCGGCTTGATAACTGCAAACTCCATTTGGCTTGATAACTGCAAACTCCATTATAAAATGCATCCGTAACAAAATGCATATATGTATCAAACCTATTTATGCAAAATATGTAGCCGGCATATTAGTTTCAAATAATGAATCTGCACTACTCTTGTGACTTCAAGGCTTTTATTAAACATCGTCATATTCCTTAGCAATGCTAAAAATCAGCAATCTTTTTATTTGGCGACTGAACTTTTATCAAAAGCAATGAAATATGAACAGTGACCTAAATTCTAAAATAAGAAAAAACTTTGGCGCTTTGAAAACATTTATGAAACAGCCACAAAAAGAGATCTTTACCAGCTTCTTTTCCAATCTTCACTTAGTTGAAACCGTTCACCCGTTTACATGAGAGCTAATCGGATTTGGTTCCGTATAGCAGGTTTTTCTTGGCGATCCCGTTCGATATGATTTCTATTTGGAACGGTTTAGATGGGTAAACACAAGGCAGGTTGGTGCAATCATGGTGCAATCGCAGGATGATTCACAAAACCGATTCACAATGATTCACATGATTCACAATGACACGCAAAGTCACGCCTGATCATTTTACTAAGACCCTCGTTGGTTCTCAGTCAAAAATAACAGGCAACAAATTCATAAAAATACTTAATCCACGGCATCTACACATTAATCCTGAAAAAACGCGGACGGTAAATCCCCAAATATATAAGTTCTGACATTTAAGTTTCAGACAAAAAAAATTCGGACCAAAAAATTGCGAATTTCGGACAAAAATTTCGGACAAAATAAAGTAGGCTCTACAAACTGGGCAATTCTCAGATGTAATTCAAAACAAAGAAGAAAATGAAAAAGAGAATTTGGGGGAAGCCTGGGCGCGAATCATGCTTCATGATGAGCATACTGACGACAAGAATTAAAGGACAGTCATGTTGTATTCGAATTTGATGACTGAACACTGCACCTTGCATGCATTTTTAACTGATAGCTATCAACATCAAATATATTAACATTTTATTTCTATTTCTATTTTCTATCTACCTATGCTGCTGTTGCAGTCTCGCATCCTTCTTATACATTATCAACATTGCCTGTTTAATAAATCATATTGCGATTTTGGGGAAATATTCTTCTCAAAGATTCTATATAGTTTAAAATTTTCGGACGTTAAAGTTTTCCAACGGTAAAAGTTTCGGACGGTAGAGTTTTCGGACCGTGTATTTGTACGAAAGTTTTGCTGTCCCAAACTTTTGTGGATTTATGTATGTCTTTAAGCGAGGGCTTAAATAATACAACACCAGTTCAGATAAAGAGAACTGTACAATGTTTAACAAAAAGGGCAAAATTCAACTAATATGGGCGTAGTTTAACTGTTAATGACTTTTAATCATAGAACTTCTCACTGCAGTAAATACCATAATCGACTAAACTTTAAATGTGTCAACTTCAATACCTTCAAGATATTGCTTAATCAGCCTACGTCACAGACAAAATTGAATATCGAAGATACATTAATTGGTCTGTGACGTAGGCTATTATCTTATGGCAGATTCAATGATTTTCTGAATACTTTTGTCTGTATGCATATTTTGGTCTCATCAGAAATGAATAATTTGTAACAAAACAATGAGGTGAATAAAATAACAAATCAATTTGTGATCCCCTACCGAATACCCAAGCTCATCCTCCATCAAATCAACAAAACAACCCCAATACACATACACCCTTTTAAAAATCCAATAAAATCCTATTTCCTATGTGTATCTCCAATCACATTTTCAAGTTAACTCAAAAAAAACAACCATCCATCATATCCCAAACCTTAATCACTCAGGTCGCGGACAAATTCGTTTCCAGTTGCACTTGTTCAAATTGAATTGTTGTTTCTCGTTTCCAGCAGCGAAAAATTCCATCTAAAAACTTCTGAACCTTCAACCAGTGGGAATCGCAACCCACGCGATGGCTGAGATTTTAAAAACTTCAACACTTTTCACAGCTTGTTATCCAAAATAAGAACTTAAGTAATCGAGGTCATCAACTTTTGATAAAACGTTAAAAACAACTACATTAGGCAGGGACATAATAAGGGTTCATATTGATTATTCTAGTTTCCTAATCTTATCAATGTGGCAAATCTCAGCACTCTTTGTTTTTAATTTCAATGTCATAATATAAACATTCTGGAACTCTATAAACAAATTTTGATGCTGTGAAGTTTTATTTCCTATTTTTGTATTACATTATATCATTATCAGTGGGAGCTTCAAACTACTGATCTTTTATGATGTAGTGAGAACAAGTCATAATTTTTGGAGTTTATTGGATTTAACCTAACAACGTTTTGAAAAAAGTAAAAAACGATTTGATTAGGTTGTTGATGCAAGTATTAGCGAGTTAACGTGTTACTCTCAGACAAACACGGAATAACTTCGGTAATAGATATTGGAAACAAATGCGATCTTAAAGCAAATGACTACAAACAATCGTGGCTGATACTCTTAGCGAAAAAGTAGAAAGTCTAATGATACATATTCTAATACATTAGATTGTATACGAATTGTTCCACATTAATGAAATATCAAATCCTCTTCTATAGTGTGCTGGAGGGTTCAGTCGCCCTTGTAAACGTCAGCGCTAAAGCTTATACAAACTCATCAGTCTTTTGACTCGTTGTCACTACTGTCAAGGTCCCTTTTCTGAGGTCTGTCCACCCATTCCCGATGCTTTACAAGAGGCCCTATCAACGCGTTTTAAGGAGTCTGAAGGATTTTACAAAACATTTTCCGGCGGTTTAGTCGCGATTTGTACTAGTTTTGCTCCCTGTTGAAATTCTAGGACAAGACTCTAAAGGTCAATCCTTAGATCAGAATATTTTCTTCAAAAGGTATCTGGAAAGCACATAAGAACACTGAAGATAGCTAAAAACCATTGGTCATCTATTCAATAATACAAATTTCCCCGTGCAGACTGCAGTTATTATCTCAAAGAGATCTTCTAAAATATCTACTATTATGACAGATGTACAGAGTGTGTCAGAAAGAAAGATGAACCATTAATATGATAATGGCTCATTGCGTAAATACGGAACTCAAAAATTACATTTCCCAGAAGCTGAGTTTGTATTTGTTGGACATAAACTAAACAATTTTTCTATTATGGTCTAACCTTTTTTGATCTAAAGACGAGATATCATATATATTTGCTGTTTAAAAATGTCTTAGGTTACACCATTTCTGACACACCCTGTGTGCAGGAACCTCAATATGCTATGACTACTATTTTGAATACAGTGAGAGTCCAGAAACGAATCTATCCTTTCTATGACCAATGACCTAAACTTTCAAAACTTCGCAATAAAAGTGAGGCGTGGCCTAAATGAGGCCTTTCAAAACTGCTGTTTGGATGATTGAACTTCCCCAATGTCGTAGATGGTGAGTGTTAGCTACATCGTAACCATTAAAATTGAACGGGTGGGAAGGAAACCTCCATAGGGAATGCAGGGCAAGGCACCGGGTACAAAGTCTTCTTTCTTCTCATAAGATCAGGGCTGATATCGCTCAACTCTGAAGGAGCTATGTCTAAAGATGTTATTGAGCCTCGGGGTGCACTTCCCAGTTCATCTTCGGTGTCAGAAAGGGCGAGAGAATTGGTGCTAGGACATTTTGCATTTAAATCATCTGGGTAATGCACCAAAACAACTTCCTGTGTCTTCTTTAAAACAAGATAAGTGCTGTTTTTCAAATCTAATGGTTCCACGTAATCGTTGTTTGACGCGTCAGCTAGCAAGGTGAGCTTTTCAGCAAACTTTACCAGCTCGTTCGTTTGAAGTTTATTGAGTCGCGAGCGATCCTTGTTGTCACCATTTGAGGACTTGCAGCTTTCCTTTACTTGGATGAATCTGTGAGATCTCAAGGTGATACTTGATTTTCTTACTGACTTATTACCAATACTTGTCGATAAAGCGTGCCGATCAACATTCACTTCAGAGGTTGGAAAGCTTTTACAGCCATCGTTACAATGGCAGTAACTCCCAATTGTATCCACTTGGACGCCACGATCAACAGTCGGTTGTTTCGTCAAAGGCAACAGAGATTCTGACGAACCTTCTTTGGAAAAACTGAAGCGAAAATGGCTGTCGCATGAAAACTGCTGATCGTCCGTTCTCGATAATTGCGAGGAACTGCAAAATGTCGAAGTATGATTCCATCGGGAAGTTTTCATCTGGCTAGAAGCTCCATTCCTCTTTGTTGAAATTGAAATTTGATTCCCAAGAACAACTAAGCCGCTTTTTGGCAACTGTCGCTCGACAGAGCTCCTCTTCCAACCGAGCCACGGCATGTTTCGTAAAATGTGCGAATGTGTGCCCCTTTGATTGACAATACTTGCAAGCAGGTGATACACAAGTATACAATTAGCGCTTGACTGTCAACGTGCACCTGCCAAACAAAGGCGGGAAGACGAGAACCGTTGACATTCTTCAAGTAGAAAAGGCAGGTCAACTTATATCAGCTGTGGATATTAACAGTTTCTCCTGCGCAGTATCAACTCTCCAAGCGAAGGGTGAGTACACACCATGCTCACTTGAATGTAGTTGCCCTTATGTTCTCATTTCGGGTTGTAGGGGGTGCGACACCCCCCCCCCAATATTTCTGTCTCCTTCGGTAAATTTGATTCCATTCGGTAAAAACCATTTTTTGGTAGTCAGCAGTAACAAATTAACGCCAAGATTTACTTTATTTATCTTCTTATCAGTAGCCTAGCGGGGGGGGGAGGCAAGGGGAGCGGCCGCTCAGAAAGTGGGTGTCTGAGAAAAGTATTTCAGACAATATATTTCAGACAATATTAAAACGTTTTTAAAGACGGCAAACGACTGTAAGAAATATTCTGAAATGTATTTCAAGCTAATCTGAAGGGCGTCGTCGCAAAAATTTTCTGCTCGCTTCGCTCGCACAGGGACCCTCCTTCATAACTCTACAGAATGTTCAACAATTCATCCCACGTTATAGGATTTAAATAGAAACGTTTTTCACGTTCTTTAGACAATCTCGATATGCTAAAGCGCTTCAATCCTTAAAAGAATTGGATTCTGAAATGCTTGTCTGGGATTTTGTTCCAAGGAGAACGGAATTAGTTTAAAACATTTGAATCCTGTTTGTTATTTTTAGATATTTGAATAAAACTGTGGAAAATCAGTTTTTACACGTAGTGCTTCCTCACACAATTCAGAATTTAGGCGTTAGATGAATTGTCAAGGAAATAGGCAGTTGTAGAATGGGGTCAGCCACAAAAAGCCAGATATGACGATGTATAAAGCGAAATCGCCACGTAAAAAAGCCATAGCTTTTCCAAACGCTTTTGCAAAATGAGGCATTTTCCTAAATTCTTAAGGGTGTGGTCAGCAAAGATTTTCTCCCCTTTGCCCCTCCAATAAGGTGAAAACGGAATTTTAAAAATGGGCGTTTCCATAATTTACCAGTGACCTGAAGGGTGTGGCACTAAAATTAGTTTCTAACACCCCCCCCCCCAATCATTGTTGCTTAGATCCGCCCCTGCAAACCGTGTTTACAAAAATATATTCGATTGTTTAAATAAAATCATGTTCATCTGATGACTTGCAAATAGGTGTTTCTGCAACTGTATTATAAAGGATCTTCGAATTTGCAAAATTAGTGATCATTTTTTATTCATATCAACAAACAAAAACATTTAATGGGAAGGTGGGATCTCGTACACATGGACAGCAGATTTGAAAATACGTAACACGTGGTCTTGCGTTGTCTTGCTTAGCAAGAAAAGAGCATTCATTAAAATTCGTCGTGTGAATGTGATTCGAAAAGAAACCTTGCAAACTTTGTGCGTGGGTTGAAAACGGCCATCGAAATCAAGTTTTGGTCGCCATATCTCAATAAAGTGACAACATAGTGAGAATTACTTTATAATGAGAATCGCGGAGATTCGAAATATTTCAACCTGGCAGGGTTACGTGGACCCTGGGACATCAAAACTGTACAACATTTCCAAGTAAAAACGGTTTCTCCCCTTTTCAAGGATGACATGAAAAATTCTTCGCGATGTTCTAAAGGGAGTTCTATCAGAGAAAGCTTCTGATGAAAAGGCTATCTCTTAAACCGTTTTTCGACGACTGCCACAACAAACACGCCAGATAGTTGATAGGGTCTCAACTTCTGGAGCTCACAGCGGACGCAAAATCAAGACCACTTTATTTTAACTACGCATGCTCGGATTTGGGCGCTACGCCCGAGCGCACAAGAAATGTCAAATGGAAATCGGCCTTTATGCAGCTTGCGTCGCGGCTTGGGCGCAGCTTGCAGACTGAAATCTCAAGCAGCTTGCATTTTGAATGTTACGGCAACACCTTCAAGGAACAGGTGAAGGGAGATTCATTGGTTGCAGGTTCGCAGAAGTTGCTCGGGATATATTCTGTGGCGACAGAAAAAACAACTGCGACTAAAGATTGCTACGTTTTGAATAAATTTCGCACGTTAACTGCTCTATCCATCTGCCCAGACAAGCCAGGATGAATCCGACGAGTTTTGAATGGAAAAACAGCTTCCAAAAACATATTGAATGAAAAGAAACAGAGTCTACAGCTTATTAGCAGTAATGTAACACCAAGATTGTTTGTCACTCACTGTCCTAATTTCATGCCAAATTCTCTGTTACAAAGCTTTGCAGCAATATGCAAGTGCAGCTGGTTTCGTCAGGCTTGATTTTTCAGAATCTGCTGGCAATTTTGATTTTACTGAAAAATTATCCCCGAAAGGCAGTACCCGCCTTGCCTGGCACCGTGATCTCACCAAAGATACTCGAATAGTGACTGGATAGGAAACTGCGAAGCGGACAATAGAACATGTTACGCATCACTGCTTATTCAAACTTGTAGGGAATGATCATTTCCGGTTTGTTTGGTTTTGACTGATAATGACGAGCTTCGCAGCTATTCGGCACGGTAGTTAACTGTTGTAGACTTACCAAGATAAGCTAATTTGTCCCTTGTTACGTTTTCAACGAAAAATGAAAGAAAAAAGGAGTGGAGAACGCAGCTTTTGTGTAAAGTAAAAAGATGCGATAGGAGTTTCAACGCAGAGAGGGCCTACATCTGCGCAAGGCATTTTGATCAACATTGCTTTAGGATCGGTAAGTCACTGTAACTTTCATTACTTCTTTCATTGATTATTTTTTTTGCCTATTATTTTATAAGAGTTTTATTATTAAGATTGGATGCAGATCTCATTAAAAAATCCTTTCGGGGGTAGGGGGGCTACGAAATAGGTTATATAAATATTACTTAGGAATTCAATCGATTTTTGACTTATTATTGGGGGGAGCTGTCACGACCCCCACAACTCCTATCAATCAGTTGCTGGTGATAGGTCGACTGAGAATATCAACAGTGTCACCGTTGAATAAACAAAGCAGGCAATAGTCTGATGGGACGAAAGTCCCCCTGAGAAAAGTGTCAAAATCATCAACTGTCATTGAGACAAAAATATCTAACAAAATTAGAAGCAAAGTTGGGGGGCAACTCAAATTTTCTTTATCTTGTATTCATATTGACAATAAATTATTTCATAATGTTGTTTGTAGGAAAGACTGGAAGAAAAGACCTCCTTGTTGGAAGTTTGCCTACACAGTTCTTACATAAAAGAAGTCATGAAAATAACCAAGGGAAACAAAGGCATGAGCTTGAAAGACTTTTTCAAGAGGTGCCCTTACCAGTGCTTTACAAATGAAGAGGTTTCACAGATTTCAAAAAGAGCATTGGCAAAATAAAACAGCCCTGGGTCATTTTACATAGCTCTGATGAGACTGTACCCTTAGGTCTTGCTGACAAAACTGGTAATATTCGGAACAAAGTTTCTGTGGACCCCTTTTCGAATGATACAAATTTTGTTCTCTCTGAGAAATCCTCTGAAGAAAAGAAAGAGATGTAGCTTTCCTCTTATTTGGAAAGCGAGGAAAGTGTTTCAATGCTTCAGTAATAGAGGGGGCTAGTAATAAAAACTAGAATACCAGCAATTTTGGCATAACGAGTTTTGTATATTGTTAAAAAGACCAGAAAATGAATATTTCTCTATTATAATTATTTTTGTAATATTAGCTATATTTCAAGCTGTTTAGTTCATATTTCATCCATATTCAATTGTTGAAGTATTTTAAGAAATATTAACTTTTGCCTGATAGCTGAGCATTTCAAGTGGGCTTGCACATTTGTTCTAACATTTTCATCCTCCATACTTTCTGGAAATTTTCCCACATGGAATCCAGATAATTGGTTTTGCTTTCCAATTTGTTCTTAAAAAGACCTCTTGGGAAGCCTATTGTATCAGCAGGTCCTGCAAGTTCCAGTAGCTTCTGAAGAACTTTCCATACAAAACCGTCTTGTTGGCCATCGATTCTTAAGCACCCTTAATGATTGAATTCATACAAATCTGAGGGGCATCATGTTCTTTCTCCTTTAAAGTCACCCCCTTTTTCTTACGATATGGCTCTTTAACTTTCCTTTTCTTTGCATTGCTCCTCGTTTGTTGGTGAATAACAAAATTTGACTGTCATCACAAAATTTAATAGTGGTTTCCTAAAAGGAAAACATCAATAATAATTTAACCAGACGTACACCTGCTACAGGGGTGCACAGCTCTGTACCCTCAAAAGTATAACAAACACGGGAAACATGATTAGACGAGAAACTTTCCATTTTATTGTTTCGTGATTTGTTTATATGTTGACTGGTGCTGCTGCCGTGTCGATGAAAAATCAAGCCAAAGCCAACATCATCAATTTAAAATCAAGTATCTTCCTAGGCCTAATTATAATGTAAATCAACATTTTCACTAGCATTATCCCTGGCTCATCGAACATACATTATGTTCAATCGGCATTCTTGTAATTACTCGTTAGAAAATGAAATATTGAAGTTTAATAGAAGGGCCTACATCGCCGTGACTTAAATTCTTATTCGCGGAGACAGAGATAATGGCTGCAGCGCCTTTAAAGTACACAAAGAAACGGACTACATTACCTCGACAACAAGTTCAAGTAATTCTTCGTCGATTTGGCCATTAAAATAGGTGAAATCCATTCTTGGATGTTGCTTTTTTCGGTGAATGTCCTGGTCGTGAGACTAAAACCGGAAATGACTATACCCTACAACTTTTCCAAAACACGCGATTGGAAGATAAACGTAATCGCCTATTGTTGTCTGCGCAGTTTCCTATCCAGTCACTATTCCAGTATCTTTGATCTCACCGAGGCAAAACGTGCCGCGTAACATAGACGTGGTTGGTAGTCTTCTTGTGGTTCTTTAAAAGTAATTAGGCATACAAAACAAAACTTGTTGACAAATAGGCAAATAACCCCCCCCCCCTCCCTTTCAGGCACTCACTCAAGGACCATCAATGATTTCTGATAAGTGATTTCAAGGTTTTGCGCGTGCTGCTTGAATGTTGGGACGGGTGTTGCGTAATCAGTGGAAGACCTGTATTCGTTTTTCTCCCCAATATGCAGCTCTACTTGATAGTTAGCTCTTATATGAATAAATTTAATTTAAGTGTCAATTTGATAATATCCTTGACCTTAAAATATTGCTGGCTAACAATATTGGCTCTCCACAAACAGGCAGTGACGGGAAACCACCTTCTCTGTGGTATTTCAAAATCATCTAAGGCTGTTATTGTTATAACATTATAGCAAATGATATCATCATTTGTCCCTTGTTACTTTCTTCTGAACTATGCATTTGCAAATTGCAACGTTCAGGATATTTTCGTTGACTCGGGAAGCCTTGCCAGATATGTATCTTCAAAAAGAACCTTTGAAAGGGTCGTAAAAGGTATTTACGAAATCTTGCAAGAGTGCTGAGCATCGAAACTGATGCAATTTTAGAGTTGCTGAAGAAAGATGGCCGGGCACGAAATACATCGATAGTTTCGAATTTCAAGCAAAACAAGTGTGACGTTAAAGCTAGAAGTTCGAGATTCAACCATAAAGCTTGTGTCGCACTTGTTTGTTTCATTATATAAAGTCTTTAAATGAAGAAGAGACGCAGTAGCAAAGACTTGGACACTTTTTCTCGTCTTTTCCCGAATTCACACATTGTTTTTCATGAAAATGATCTAAGAATAGGTTTGGGCTTAGGAAATGAACTTTGCAGTAAATGAACTGCCTTATTCAATTCTGAAATTGCTCTTTGTAAATCTGAATTAGTGTTTTTTCGACTATTGTTACAACTAACATTAAAATAAATCATATACATGAACATATAGATAAAAATATAAAAATAGATATAAATAAAAATATAAACATGAATAAAAATATTCATATACAAATACATATACATATATATATACATATACAGGAACAAATCATTCTTAAGAACACTGAGTCTAAGAAAAATTTATGTTATTCTTATAAAAAATCAGCGCAAAATGAACAAAAGCACATCGAGTTGGCAGCTTTCGCTGCTATACCCATTCCAAAACACACAGCTGCGAAAAAGTCCACTTTTTTACCACCCGAAAAGCGGTTCCAAGGGAATTAAAGTGGCCAATTTTGTTCGGCTTATCTTGCAGTTATTGTCACAAAAACCGTCGCAAAAACTCCTAAAAGCTAGCAAATTCACAGTCTTTAAATCCCCTTTCAGGTCATTGTACAACTTTTCAATGGAGAGATGGACAGCTGAAGACGCTAAAAAACCAAATCCACGAGGAAAAATGGATTTTTAGAGCAACACAATCATAACCTGACACAAACAGACATTACAAACGATAAGAAGTATTCTTAAGTTAGTTTTTATCCTAGCACGAGGTTAAAGTAAAGGCTTGAGCAAGAAAATGATATTTTACCATTGCTATAAAACAACGTTATAATTCAGTTAAGCCCCTCCTCCCGAATATGCTCTCTCTCGAGTAAACTCCCTTATCAAACATTACGTTTTGATCAAGCCTCCAAAAATCAGGTAAAAGGCCAACCTATTTGCTACCAGTAAATCTAATTTTTAGCTTCTTATGATTGAATTTATTAGCTCTTTGTTCAACTCATTTCTCAGTTTATGAAGACGTTTCTGGATTCCTTTAACGATATAATTTCTTGGTACTTCTAATCCAACATCTAGTCAACGTTGTCCAGTGGGTGAAAATAGATTTCCACAGTTCTCCTTACTCTCCAAAAACTTGGACACAAGAAACGATAATTTCATGGGTAACTGTCCAATAAGAGTTTCTTTTTCCTTGATGTATTTGTAAATTCCAATTCCTGAATTTCGTGCTTCAAATAAGCCCCCCCCCCCCTCTCTCGAATACGATTCGTCTGACAAATAAGCCCCACTTTCCAACATGGAGTTCGAAATAAGCCCCCCCCCAGGCATCATCAAGTTGTTAAGGTAGTTCATTCGTGAAATCAGATATACTTTTGTAATGATTTTGACTAGACACGACACTAAAGCAACTTGTCCTTCCCTTCTTCATGCGAATCGTTTTTGCTTATCGGCTGCCTCAACGGCCTTAAATCTAGGGTCCGTCTGTATTAGGTCGATATCCTCCTCTATTCCCTTGTTCAAAAAATGTATCATTTTCAGAAACCGCACCAAAATCTGAACGAATGTGTTCTACTTGTGACGTCACGACAACTTGGCGACGGAAGAAAAATTTACATCTTTTCAAAAGTGTATAGCTTTGAGCGACAATACACTCTTTTTTATAAGAACGATATCAGAAGAACGCAAGCCTCAAAACTGGTCAAAAGCTACTGTTAAATGCAATTTTAAACAATTTTTTTTCTCAAAAACGAGGATTTTTAGCATTTTTCGGTGAGTATTCAAATTTGTCGGCAAATGAAGGTTGCCTCACTCACTTTGTTGGCCTGAACACGTCCGTAGAGAGAAAAAGCCAACAATCGCATTGCTCAAACCCTATCAATTTAAGAACAAATTAAGAACAATCCAGCCTCAGATTTTCAAAAAAACACTCAGCCTGAACTTAAATTTACTGATTCTTATAAAAAAAGAGTGTAATCAGCCAGAGGGCGAAGGTAAAAACAGATATTGCATACTGTTTCAGCTAAAAACTTTCCGGAGAAATTAATTCCATAATCATTTTTAGCACAGTGAACCAAATGTTCGTGGTCTTTCAACCATCTTTAACGTAGATAGCAAACTACAAAGACACTAGGAACAGGAAAAAAGATTAAAAAAGCAACTTGGTACGAAAATGCATATGAAGCAGGTGATAGAACAGAAATTTGCACGCGACTAACAATCTTTTCTGACGTCACGAGAAGATTTCGAAGAATTAAAAACAAGCCTTTAAAGTGATTGGCTAATAAAGGTTGCGATGACAACCGTAATGTTTCAAAGAAAAAAAACCTTAGAACATCAAGGCCATCCCAGTAGGACGCGCGTATATGCAGCTGAAGATGTTGAATTAACATCAAAACTAGTATAGAATGGGCTTGTGTTTACATTTAACCTGCTCTAACCAGGCTAATATTTGTGCGGATATTTGCATAAAATAATTGGAAAACGAGCAAGAGAGCTAAAACGTTGACACTTTTAGCAGGTCGGTAGTTCATCAGATTTTTAAAATGATGAAAATGCTTGATAGAAACAATTTTCTATACGGCATTTTTGTATGGGCTGATTACATTGGTCACTGATCAGTGACAATTTATGTAACAGAGCTTCATTAGAATATAGGTTTTTGAAATAGCGTCTAAGGCAAATGCCTGAAAAACAAACGATGGCTGAT